TATCTCTCTATATAATCATATATTTAAAGAACTGTATTAATGAATGATACATAACAAAGTATTGGTTAATTTCAAAATGTACATTATTTAAATGATATGATGATTCTCAGCGCCGCACAAATTAATATGCACGATAATCTATCAACATCACTAGCTACTCCATTTTCTTTAATAAAAGATTCCACACGAATTAAGAGTTTTTGTAATGTGACTGTATGTGCATATTTAAATTTGAATTTAGATTACGGCAATTTTTATTTGTTAAATATGTAAAAATATTGGATACGAAAATGTTACTTGTAGATGTCTTAACAAGTGTCTTGAATTCTCAAAATGTCACAAGGGATGTATTGGGTTGGGTACACTCACAACACGTGGGCACTTTATTAGATCAACAAAATAATTACATAAGCACATGTACCAAGATACAATACTTCACTTATCAAGACCAAAACACACTAACTATGACACTCACATTTTTTTACTTAAACTCTTGAATGCTTGGATTATTGGGATTATGCTTAGATTCTCTACAAATGAGGTGGTCACCTCTATTTATAGCCACCACCTCCTCTAAGGAATTCTCTAGAACATATAATTTCTTGGGCATTCTAGATACTTCTACAAAGCTCCTACACACATATCCCTACTACAATTCTCTACAATATTTGGGAAGGCTCTAGAAGACTCCACATTACTCTCAAAGGTTCCACATGCTTCTAGATCCTTCTACAATATTTTGGAACCTGCCACATTTTTCCGGGTCGTTCTAGATGCTTCTGAAACCTTCCACAATATTCCACGACGTTCCACATTTTGTTCTAGATGCTTCCGGGTTCTTCCCAAAAGGAGGTGTTGATATTTTAACAGGATGAGGTTGAAAAGACAATTAGTTTGGAGTCGAGCGAGTATATTGAAAATTTATTACAAAAAATATATCCTACATGCCCTCTTACTACTATGGATACATATGGTAAAACCGAATTCTAATTCCAAATGATTCTTAACTTGTTTCGAAATTAATCACTTCTGAATTTAAAGAATAATTTATGCTTAGTGGATAATTGATAATGAACTTTCAGGGTAAAACCGAATTCTTATTCCAAATGATCATTAACTTGTTTAGAAACACTTCTGAATTTAAAGAATAATTTATTCTTAGTGGATGATTAATTACTAATGAACTATTATTCTTAGTGGATGATTAATTACTAATGAACTTTTAGATTCTAAAAGTTCATTTTAAAGAAGAATTAACAACTTTTGAAAAAGTTCATTTAGTGGTTCAAAACAAGCACTATCCTGCAAGTAGTACATTAGTGAATCATACATTTTATTCTCCTAATGAGCCAAAAAAAGATTTTACAGGATGATGTTGAAATGAATTAGTTTGGAATTGAGGGATATATTGAAAATTCCTTACGAAAATATCTTACATGCCCTCCTACAATGTATACAGTAAAACCGAATTTTAATTCCTAATGATTATAAACTTTGTTTCGACAAGTTTCTGAATTTTCAAGACTAATTCATGTTTTGTGGATAATTAAAAACGTACTTACAGAAATAAGAAATAGAAACTTTTGAAAAAAAAAATAAATCCATTTTGCAAATGCAGAATTGCCTTATCCTACAAAATAGTACGTTAATGAAGCATACATTTTATTCTATCCTAATGAGCCAAAAAAATAAAAATAAAAACTTTTTTTTTTGGTACAAAAAAAAAAAAAGATTTTAACTTCTGATAAGGAATAAACATTTTTACTTTATATAATGAAAGGGTAGTATCTTTGATGGGTTAGTTGGATAATATTATAAAACAGGTGAAATTGCACTATAGTTTGAAAAATCTTACTAGCAAACAAGAAGTA